GTATTAATCTGCTAAGTGTGTGTCTCCATTCTTTTTAGTCTCTGGATGAAGAAAAATATTGTGATTCATATGTGACACTAAATTGGCATACATTTGTTGTTGTTAATTGCCATTTAGTCAGTTCCAACTCCTAGTGACTCCATGTACAAGAGAATGAAACACAACTTGGTCCTGTGCCATCCTCACAATTATTCTTATGTTTGAGTTCATTGATAGTCATCCATGCCAATCCCCTTTGTTGAAGGCCTTCCTCTTTTTGCTTGTCCCACTACTTTACCAATCATAATGTCCTTCTCCAGGGATTTGTCTCTTCTGACAACATGTCCAAAGTACATGAGACAAAGTCTCCCCATCCTATGTGTTAGTTTGGGTAGACTAGAGAAACAAATTCATAGACACTAATGTGTGTGTAAGAGGGTTTTATATAAAGGGTAATTGTACATTAAGAAAATTCCAGCCCAGTGCAGATCAAGCCCCATAAGTCCAATGTTAGCCCATATATCTAACACCAATCTATAAAGTCCGCTTCAGACTCATGAAACACATGCAATGATGTTGAATGCAGAAAGATCACAGGCCTGTGGATTGGAAGTCTTCTGAGTCCAGCAGCGTTTTAAGCATCTCAGTGCTGGCAGAGGTCTCTGTGGGTCTCTGGATCCAGGGTTCTGGCTGCATCAGGGCAGGTCCATGTAGCTTCTCTGTATTAAGGAACATTTCAAGACAGATTTATTTATTCTTTTGGCAGTCCATTGTACTTTCAATATTTTTTTTTGCTAGAACAACAGTTTAAATGCAAAGATTTTTCTTCAGTCTTCCTTATTCAGTGTCCAACTTTCACATGAATAGGAGGCAATTGAAGATGCCATGGCTTGGGGCAGGCAAATCTTAGTCCTTAAAGTAACATTCTTGCTTTTCAATACTTTAAAGATATCTTGTGCAGCAGATTTACCTAATGCAATCATCTTTTGATCTCCTGACTGCTGCTTCCATGAACACTGATTGCAGATCCAAACAAGATAAGGTCTTGATAATTTCAAACTTTTCTCCATTTATCATGATGTTAGCTAGTGGACCACTCGTTAAGATTTTGGTTTCCTTTACCTTGAGTTGTAATTCATATAGAGAGTTGCAATCCTCAATCTTCATTAGCAAGTGCTTCAAGTCCTCTTCACTTTCTGCAAGGTTGTGTCATCTGTATATCTCAGGTTGTTAATAAGTCTTCCCATAATCCTGATGCCACATCCTTCTTCATACAATGCTGCTTCTCTGATGATTTGTTCAGCACACAGATTAAAGAAGTATGGCGAGAGGATACAATCCTGAAATCATTGACATATCCCCACAACCACACACAGAGATACATACATATATAAAGAGTATAATTCCATTGCATTAACTCAATTTCATAAGATCATTTGCTCAAAGGCAGTTCACATCTATTTAAACTAAGGCTTATAGAAGCCTCAGAGAAATAAATTGAGAAATCATTTTTCCCTGTGGTAGTTACATAATCTGGTGTCAATTTGGGACTTGAGAGGATTATGGGTGAAGAGGTGGAGTCTGGCCTATCAATCAAGATATAACCAATGAGGCCTCTTTGTGGGAATGGCCTTCCCTTGAGGATTCTTGGAAAACTCTAGGATTTCCTCCTGGGAGGCAGAAGACATACTCTCTCTCTTCTCACTCTCTGTGAGACACTCTACTACAAGGCAGACTCATTGCAACACATCCCTGAGGAAAAGCCACATGGATCTACCCTGATGCAGCCCTGAGAGCTCGAGAAGCCATGTGGAGACCCCTGCCAGTGCTGAGATGCTTACTACATCACTGGATCCAAAGACTTTCTACCCACTGGCCTGTGATCGTCATGCATTTGATGTCATTGCATGGGTTTTGTGACTCAGAAGAGGACTCTATAGATTGGTATTGAACATAAGGGCTAATATCAGACTTATGGACTTGATCTGGGCTGTGCTGGGATGCTTTCTCAATATTCAATTCCTCTTGTATATAAAACTCTTTCTTATACATATGTGTGTTTATGAATTTGTTTCTCTAGTCTACCCAGACTAATACACTTCCTTTGTAGAAGGCTAGGATGGGATTCATTTGTGGGAACTACATAGGAAATAAGCCTCCAATGATATCTCTTTATCTATAAGTAATGGGTGGGAGGAAAGTGGTCACTAAAAAGAGTGCATTGGAGAAGTGAGTATAGAAAATCAAAGGGATAAACCGGACTTGAATAATTAAAACTTTGTCAGTTGATCCCCCTTCTGATGCTTGCTGAACCGGATCTGGTTTTCAACATTTTCTGTATTTTTGTTCGTTCGTATTAGGGTGTATCTTTTTTT